TCCAGGCAAGAGAATGGTATCTCAGCGGCACGGGCTCCGTCTTTGGCGGGTGACGAGGGGAACGGACGGATTCAGAAACGGCGAGTATCGGGAACGTCACCAGTTATTGCACCATCGCACACTATCGCCGGAACGTCGTACGCGTTCGCCGGATCGTCGCACACTATCGCCGGAACGTCGTACGCGTTCGCCGGATCGTCGCACACTCTCGCCGGGTTGCATCCTTCCCGCGGTCTGACGGTTGAAATCCCCGACCCGCCTTCTTCTGTCAGTTCGGATTCGCCGCGTTCATCGGGGAAATCGCCGTCAAGTGCTCGTCAAGTGACTAGCTACCCACCGCCGACCGCGGCAAGACCCAAAACCTCTTGCGGCAGGATTAGCAGCAGTTGTGGTAAGAGCAACGTCAGCAAGAGCAGCAGCAGTGGAAGTAGCAGCGTCGGCGGCAGCAGCAGCAGCAGAGGGCCGAAATCAGTCGGAGCGAGACCAAAAATTCCTCCGCTTACTCTAGAGCCAGTGAACCAGTCTTTGGTTCCCATGACACCCACCCCAGGAGCGAAGACGCCTATAACGAGGGAAACTGGCCATTTCCTTCCCCGCCCGAAAACTGCAGAATTGCCGAGGCGTGCAGAACGGTCGGTATTCTTGGGATTGTCGGATTTCGAGGAAGTGGAGAGGGGCGGAAATCGTGAAGTAGTTACAGAAGTAACAACAGTAAGCACGAGTTTTAACGAAGCCACTCGTACCCTCCAGCACCAACTCTCGCACAGAAGCGAACCCGCTCTTAACGAGTTGGCGACGGTTGACGACGAATCGAAATTCAACAAAGCGGTGGCTCGGTTCTGCGACGACTTAAAAAGCGGTGGGAAAGTAGCTGATTCGGAAGACTCCTCATCTCAACTGACTGAGAACCACACAGACTTCAGGGGAGTGGTAACAGGTTCGCTAGGCGCTCTGATGCAGTGGGTAACATCGCGGTAAGGTTATGCTTCTTCGCTCATATGAGTATGTTACCCTCACTGTAGGTTCACCACTAGGATAAGGGTCAGGGGAGGCACGGGAATGGAGTAATAAATTCGTGTTAAATGTGATGTGATCAATTGCACCGGTTTGCCCATGGTTCATGCACACTGCACAGTCCTGCTGCTTTCACTGGGGCCCCTGAATGCGCCGGTAGGGCCACTCTTGTGCAACCTAAACCCACAAATACCTGGGAAGGTTACAACCCACCCAGCGAAACACCTAAATAAATTCTAGGTGCGGAACAGTGCGTTCCGAACGCACCAATGCAATGCATCCCCTCGCCGCCCCCACCACTCGCTCCCCCCCACTCGCCCCCCTCCCCTCCATATATCACTAGTACTTTGTGTAGCTGTTAGTGACAATTGTTGTTGTATTCCCGCCATGGCGAAAATTCTCAATTCCCCGCTGCTCGCTCTCACCTTCATCACGCTCGTCTGCCTCTCGACCTTCCCACCCGCATTCGCCGGCCGGTTGCGCGTCGCTCGCACTCGACAGGCGCACTTTCGTCATCAGCGACAGCTACGGGACCGCGAGCGAAAGCTGATCCACGTCGCCGACCCGCACGGCGGCTCTCATCCTTCGCGCATCGCCAAAACATTAACCAGCTCCGACAACAGGCGCAAACAGGGACTCTCGGACCCGGCCATCCCCGCTCCCATCGCATACAACGGCGGTCCCGTGATGAACGGCTCGACAATAAATGTATACATAATCTACTATGGCGCCTGGACACCGCGGAAATCCGGACAACCTATAATCGAGAACTTCATTCTGTCACTGAGCTTGTCAGCCGCCGACGCGCAAGGTGTAGCCGGAGATCCGAAGGTAGCCTACTGGTGGGCGATCACCTCAAAATACTACTCGGAGGCGTCAGACGGCACGAAGTCCACTGTCAGCAAGGAGGTATGATGTCATTGTTTTTTTCAACGTTTGTCGATAGTTTTTTAATATTTGAAACTGCTATGAGCATGTGTGAAACTGGAGAATTGTGCTTCCAGGGTCGAAGCGCTTTCTGTGAAGTGCAGAAGTTCTTGTTGCGGATTTTGATGGAAAACAGCCCGAACCCCACTCCCTTTCCCAGGTGAAATTCATCAAGGCAACCACAGACAAATGGTCCGTGGAAGAAATGGAAGACCGACGCTGTCTTCAAAGGTGTGTGTCTGTGCCTCCCAACACTGTCTTCAAAACTGCTTTCCTTTCGTTAGTACATGCCCCCCGTTTGTTTGCGGGCATTACATGATGCCGCTTACTTCCTCCCTCCGTAATAACACGTTTTGCATCCTAAGTGGCACTATCCTCTCGACCCCACATCTTTCTCTGACTTGAGGAGTTGTCACTGTACCGTTTTGCGCTCGTCTTTCTAACTGTGGCACAGCTGTGAAGGGCAAGATCGGCCCCAGGAAGGCGTTCCCTTACGACCCCCAATGGCATTTACCTGATCCTTCTCAGCAAGGACGTCAAAATCGAAGGATTCTGCATCGATTTCTGCGGGTGGCACTCTTTGGGGTACACTACATTGAACGGCACGTCAAAACCTGTCATATATGCCATCGTGGGTCATCACGCGCAATGCCCGGATAAATGCGCGGTGCATCATTATTCGCCCAACGGAAACCCCCCGATCGACGCGATGGTATCCACTATCGCGCACGAAGTCGCGGAAGCTGGGTCGGATCCCGACACCATCACCGGCTGGTTCGACGCGGACCAACAAGAAAACGCCGATAAGTGCGGCTACAAGTTCGGAGATTATTTAATCGCTCAGGACGCTAAACGTCACGATTTCAAGTACAACCTCGTGGGGAACAAAGGTATGAAGTTCATGGTACAGCAGAACTGGGACCTGGACACGGGAACGTGCGTCATGCAGACGGACCCCGCCGCTAGTACCGGCGGAGGTACCGGCGGTAGCACCGGCGAGGGTGGTACTGGCGGCACTACCGGCGGTACTACCGGATCATAGGCGATGCAACGATGGATTGCGATTCGTGAGGCTTTTGTGGAAGGTGACGACGAGAAGGAAATGCGGAAACGCGAAGGGAACTATCCGGAGGAGGTATCAGATCTGCGTGGAGTCATCTAGGCGATGTTCGGCAGCCAGAGGAGGGGGTTTGATGGAGGATCAAAATGGCGAGCCTCCAGGCTCGACCAGTACGAACCAGGCAAAACACTTCGGTCAGGCTAGAAAAATGTGAAAAAAATGTCGAACGTAAGCCTAAAACGCGACGCGAACACAACGCTAGGTGGTAACCCGCGCCGCATCCTCCCCCAAAACCTCCCCCATGGCGGAAAAGATCAGCCCTAGTGCCTAGGGAATCCAAATTGCACTCCCGTGAAAGGCCTCCGTCACAAGGGATACAAAATGGATCCCCTCAACCACGAAATTGTTTTATGATTGTCCCCCACACTCTAAACTGACGGGTAAACCGGACATCGGAAATGTAATTGTAAAACAGTTGTATTTAATAAGGTCAAATGGGTGAGTACGACATTTAAGACATTCATTTTAATTTATGGTGTTAAATGTTTTCAAGAAGTGATATACCCAATCCCATCGCAGGAGTAAAAAGAGGCAGGGATAAGAAAAACTGTTCAGCTCGCGAAGTTTCGTTTCGTGCGGCTGCAGTTTCGTGGGCCCCCAATTCCCGCGTCGCTCATCCGCGCCTTTTCCCCCAAAGGTTCTGCTTGCGCCTGGACCCCAGACTTGGAGTCAACGCTGGTTGACTCCGAGTTGACCATCCCGAACTAGAAACCCTAGTTGAGAATTTCGACCCCCCCCTCGATCCCTCGGTGGATCCCCTGTGCTGCCGAACATCGCCCTAGGTCAATGCTGAACGGGCCAAGCCCTAACTTCTGCTTTGAAGCACAAGCTGCGCGCGGAAGAATTTGTTGTTGGGGTGTTTGTGGTACCGTAGTGTACGAAAAACGGCCCGATAAGCGCCTGGAGTCGTTGTGAAACTGTTAGAAAGAAGGGTTTAAATTTGTTTGTTTTTATAAATCAATATATGTTTTGTGTTCATCTAGCGTGGATCCAGCATCCTCTCTGACGGATTTTTGCCAAACATTTCTGCAACTACCCACTCACTAGAAGACTCTATCGTCGCTTGACCTCCATCTGCTCATGCGATCATAGATTGGAGCTTCAAAGTTCAGACTGCATTCACAAACAGGAGCATCAGTCTTGTTTTGTGTTGCTTCGTTTTGCTACCCCTCTTGCACCTCCACCTCCCGGACCTAGCCTCCTTTGCGTGCCACAAATCCTCTCAGGTGCCAACACCTCTGTTATGTTATAAACCAACCCTGTACTGTAGACGTTATCTACAGGAACACTCGCAGAATCAACCCAAATTCTTAGTGCAGCTCCGATCCTCCCTCTCTGCCAAAAATCATCGACCATACCGCAGAGAACCACCCAGCACCGTATTCCCGCACTCGCAATCTTGAAAAGTCAACCCCGATCGCATGCTCCTTCTGATTGGCTCTCAATTCTTGCTTTCCTCCTCTCAAAGGCTTCTCCTTCTTGCCTTTGATTGCCACACGTGGCTCTACTGATGACTTCCCTTGACTGTTTGAAGATAGTGCGGTTCCCATGGGTTCATTTTCACGATCACCAGCACATCCCACTGGTTGGTCTGCCCAGCCTTTTCAGAGCAGAGCTTCGTGGTGCAGCATTATTTCCTGCTGCTGCTGCATCCCCTGCCGCAGTTGCAACCCTTGCTGCTGGTGCAGTTGCCTCCTCTGCTGTTGCTGCTGTTGCCACCGCTGCTACTGTTGCTGATGGCACTGCTGCTTCTGCACTTCCAGCTTCGCCTTACCTCTCTGGATCCACAGGAATCCCACTTATCTCCGTTTCCCTCCCTGCCTCCCTCCTCTCACTCCCCCTTTCTGCTGCTCCCTCTCCCCTCCTCTCGCTTTCCTTCCCTGTTGTTCTCTCTTTCCTTCTCTCACTTCCCTTCCCTGTTGTTCCATCTCTCCTCCGCTCACTTTCCTTCCCTTCCTGCTGTTCCCTGTCCCCTCCCTTGCTCTTCTGTCACTCCCACCTCCTCCCCTCTCACTTGCCCCACTGCCCTTGCCTTCCTCTCATCCTCATCTGCCTCCTCCCCTCCCTTCTTCTCCACCTCATCCCGATGCTTCAGCTGCAGCATCCTGGAAGCTTCATGGGCCACCCACCGCCGATATTGTGACCACTTGTATGTCTGAAGCGGTGGAAAGCGGTGGAAAAGGTCGAAATTGGTGACAAACCGTGAAAACACGGCGGAAAGAGGTGAAAGTGGCAAATGAGTGTGGTGAAGAGCTGTGAAAAGCGGTGCAGATGGAGAGTACTGCTGGGGTAATAATGAGTATGATCTATTAAGAAGTGGAAAAGGAAGAGGAGGGGAGGTGGGGAGGAAAGAGAGGGCGGGAAAGAGTATCTCACTGCTGGTGACATTGGTGGAAGTGGTTGAGGGGGAAGCAGGAGAGAACAAAGAGGATGACGAGGAGGATTTACCAGGGTTTGGGCAGGAGAGGGGAATGAGACGGGGGACGAGGGAGCAAAAGTAATAACAAGGACGAATATGCATACCTCGTTGGTGGTGACGTTGGTAATTACGAGGTGGAGGTGGTAGAGGAGAAAGCAGGAGAGGAGAACGAGAATGAAGAGGAAGAAGAGGAGCAGCGCACACTGGCGGTGGAAGTAGACTGTGAGCCACTGGAGATTGGGGAAGGAGGGGAGAAGGGAAGATAAATAGAGGGGGGGTGGGGGGGGAGAAGAGGAGCAGCACGCACTGGCGGTGGAAGTAGACTGAGAGCCACTGGAGATTGGGGAAGGAGGAGAGAAGGGAAGATAAATAGAGGGGGGGGGGGGGGGAGAAGAGGAGCAGCGCGCACTGGCGGTGGAAGTAGACTGTGAGCCACTGCAGGATCACAGGCAGCCAGCCTAACACATGCGTCCTGGAGGGATCATGCTATGAAGTGGGGAGGATGGGGGGAGAAGAGAATGGAGACGAGGAGAAGAGCGCATTAGCAATGGTGTGTTTTTGAGAAGCATTGAGAACACATGATATTGGGTGTCCCCCCTCCCCCCCATTATATTAGGCGGGCGTACCTATGATGGTACCGCATGGGTGGGCGCACCTATTATGGCAGAAATGACTTGGCTGTGTGTGATTTCACTAGCCAGGATGGAACACTAGCTAAACACACCGTACGCCAGAAAGAAAATGTTTCTGAAGAGAAGGAGTGGGAGGGGAGAGGTGGGGTGGGGGGGAGGTGAGGGGATGGCTGGTTAAGGGCATGTCGAGTTAGCCAGAATGAAGCACACACCAAACACACCGTACGCCAGAAAGCAGATGTTTCTGAAGAGAAGGAGTGGGGTGGGAGTGGGTGGGGGGAGGTGGGGGGAAGGCTGGTTAAGGGCATGTTAATTTAGCCAGGATGGAGCACACGCCAAACACACCATACGCCAGAAAATAGATGTTTCTGCGGAGGGGAACGTGGCGACGCGGAGAGGAGGGGAGAGAGAGGGAGGGTTGGGGGCATGTGAAATAGGCCAGGATGGAACACACGCCGACCACACGAGTTGATGGAAGTAAGGCCTCCGCAGCCCACCTGTCCTCTCTTGACAGCTCATAGGCCAGGATGGAACACACGCCAAACACACCATACGCCAGAAAATAGATGTTTCTGCGGAGCGGAATGTGGCGACGCGGAGAGGAGGGGAGAGAGAGGGAGGGTTGGGGGCATGTGAAATAGGCCAGGATGGAACACACGCCGACCACACGAGTTGATGGAAGTAAGGCCTCCGCAGCCCACCTGTCCTCTCTTGACAGCTCATAGGCCAGGATGGAACACACGCCGAACACACCGTACACCAGAAAACTTACATTTCTGCGGGAAGAGGAAAGGAGAGGGAAAAGGGGGATGGGGTGACGAGGGAGGGAAGCTGAGTTGACATGTCATTTCAAGATGGTGACATGTCAAGATGGGGCACACATCAACCACACCACACACGGTTGTTCTGAGCGGAATTCTGAGACTCCTGTCCCCTCGTTCCTCCCCACTCCCCTCCCCACTCACCACCACACTCACCACCACACTCCCCTCTCCACTCGCCTCCCCACTCCCCTCCCCACTTCCATCCTCATTCCCCTGCCCACGCCCATCTCCACACTCACGCAAAGAGGAAGAGCAGGAAGAAGCGAAGGTTGTTCTCCCCAACGCAGTTATTCTGAAAAGGAACGAGAAAGAGAGAGAGGGGTTTGGTTGTGGGTGTGGGGGGGGGTGGTATGAGAGGGGAGGAAGAAGGGGTCCAATTCTCAAAACACCGCCAGCACTGAGAGACGATCAGGGATGGCCAGCAACGAGAGGCGAAGGCTGTTCTCCCCAACCCAACACAGCTACTCTGAAGCACAGGCGACGACAGATGAGAGCGAGAGAGAGCAACAGTGCCACTCACCACCCAGGAGCACCATGAACCATCAACAACCCAAAAGCACCACTCATCGCCCTACAGCACCACTAAGCACCCAGCAGCACCGCTCACCACCCATGCGCAGTGGTGATCACATCTGGAGATGCATCGGTTGCACACCCGGCAATGCTTGGCTCGTGCTGGCCTGGGGCAGGGAAACGTGAAAGGCGTACTATGAGATGTTAAAGCTCTTGAGAAGGGAGAGGAGAGTAGGGGAGCGGGTTACCTGTGGATGGAGGAGAGGTAGAGTCCGGGGATGAAACCCATGCAGTAGACGTGAAAGGCGTAGTATGAGACGTTAAAGCCCATGAGAGGGTGGGAGAGAAGAGAAGAGAGAAGAAAACCTGTGGATGGTGGAGAGGAGAGGAGAGGAGAGGGGAGGAGAGGAGAGGGGAGGAGAGGAGAGGAGAGGGGAGAGAGGGGGACGGATTACCTGTGGACGGAAGAGAGGTAGAGTCAGGGAATGAAGCCCATGCAGTAGACGTGAAAGGCGTAATAGCCTCCTACTACCAGCACGAGGTAGATGACCTGCGGTGAGTCGAGAGGAGGACACAGAGGGACAGGGACAGGGACAGGGAGGGAGAGAGGGTGGAGAGCTGAAGCCCATACAGTAGACGTGAAAGACGTAGTAGCTGCCTATCACAAGGACAAGGTAGGTGATCTGCAATGTGTCGAGGGGAGGATACGGAGAGGGGGGGGCACGGAGAGGGGAGGATACGGAGAGGGGAGGATACGGAGAGGGGAGGACACGGAGAGGGGAGGAGAGTGCGTGTGGAGTAAGGAGGACTTATGCAATCGAGGCGTACGTGGCAGGCGTAGTAGCCTCCGATCACCAGGACAAGGTAGATGAGCTGCAATGCGTCGAGGTAAGGACGCGATGTTTGTCAAACCTCACGGTTCTCGAACTGTCATCCTGAGGTATTTATCAGTTGGCAGGACAAGAGCTTTAGCGATAAACGAACCTGGAAAAGAGGGTTTCGCAGCTCGCAGCAGAATTGGAAGATGATGTCACCGGCTCGTTCGCCTCTCTCGCTAAAGAAGAAACCGAGAAGGTAACTGTACGGAGACATGACACGGGAAAGAGCGGATGTTGTGCAGCTGTAACGCGACGACTACGTTACATATGCAGGATTGATCTGCATTGACACGCATTCTCCAATTTAAGGAAAGTAACAAACAATGGAGCTTCGAAGATCCCTGACGTGATCCAGTAATGAGGAGCTTATAACGGTGCCATCGAACGAGGTCGATTCCCTGAACAGCAGGACGAATAGCAGGAAACCCAGCAAAGCCACGAAGCGAACAGCAGCAGCATTGGCGAATCCATGTCGCCAGCTGGCGTTTCGTTGGCAGATCAGCGTGTATCGAGAGCAATGATTCAAAATCAGTCAGCGAACAGCATTGTCGAATCCATGCCGCCAGCTGGGGTTTCGTGAAGCAAATCAGCGTGTCTAGAGCGGAACCGTTCGCAATCAGTCAAGGAGATTAGGCCGGCAGGCAGTCAATATCGATGTCCTAACTCTCCCTGCGAGTATGAAACTTCTGAAACTCGTTCTACAGACAGAAGGAGAGCCGTCTTCAGTGTGTTAGAGACTAAGGACGGAGTCAATGAAGATTATGAGCCTAAATTTCTCAAAATCGTTGGCTTGAAATTCTGGACAGAATCGTGGAGTTCACAAGAAACGTCGTCGGCTAAACTTGCACCGTTGGAATTGTCTCAAACTCGAGTATGTTGTAGCCTGTAACCAGGGCTATCTTTCCCAATTTGAATCGTATCAAATGGTGGAGTAAATCTCGAGTTATGATTTTCGGCGCACTAGGGGGTATGCTGCCACATGCTTAACTCAATCACAATGGTTCTCACAAGTTCCACAAAGTTGCACACAAGAGAGTTAGGGTAGCACTAAACCAGGTAGGAGGGAAGAGGAGGACGAGAGGGAAGGTCCCAAGAGATTCCCCAACCAAGGAAACCCCATGCCACACAATTCCCTTCCCCATAGGCAACCCCACTTTCACATTTGTCACTTTCCCAACTCATGCCATCCACCTCAACCCACTGGGCCACACTTGCCAACCTGGTTTGGCTTCACCCAACCACATGGCAGCATTCTACAGTGATGGGTTCGAATTCCCAACCCCCAAAAGTCTGTACCCCATATTGAGTCAACCCCACAACTTCCCATAGTCGCCACAACCGAAGTACAGAAAGCATACGAACTCCAACGTTCGTAACTTTCTTGATATTGCTCCGATCGCGACGATTCTTGGCTCGTCGGAAAGATCTTGAGCAGTGGAGTCACTTCAGATATCTGCTCAAGCCAAATAACATTCACACATACTCAGAAAATCCAAACCACAGAAAAACACAAATTCTTGCGCACGCTCATTTCACACATGCAACGCACGAACACATGATGGGAGGCAGACAGACGTGAATGCAAATGATAGCATCACATAACAAACTCCCCCTCTGGCTGCCAACCATCATCCCACATGCCATAGCTCAAGCATGCACCCTCAATGCACACTCATCCCAGCAAGCTTCATGCCCTTCCAATGCTCAGATTCAGCCAGGCGCTTGGTGAGAATGTCAGCCGCCTGCTGATGGGTCTTCACAATCTCCAGCCGCACCTCCTTGTCCAGGAGCCTTCTCACCCAGTGCCACTTAGGCCTGATGTGTTTGGTCAGCCCATGAAGACAAGCATTCTTCGCTAGCTTCACCGCCGACTCATTGTCACAGAAAATCACAGTCGGCTCCCTTTGACCAACCCAAATCTCCTCTAGCAAACGCCTCAGCCACACCACCTCCTTTGCCCCATGATGAAGGGCCATGTACTCTGTCTCACACGAGGACAGCCCCACCTCGTTCTGCTTCTTGCTGCGCCAGCTCACTGCACCACCTCCAAAGAGGCACACATAGCCTCCAATGCTGGTGCCATCCGTCTTCACTGAGTTGAAGCTAGCGTCGGTGTAGCAAGTCAAGCGCATCTCCCCCTTGCTCAAATCAGCTGCACCCCTCTGTAGCCTCTGTCGCACAGCACTGTACTCCAAACCCACTGATGCCGTTGCACTCACATAGCGGACCAACCTCTTGGCCGCTTCCAGCTGCTCATGACTGGGGCGTGAAACCACACTGGCAAGCCTGGATGTTGCAAAGGCAATGTCAGGCCGTGTGTGGTTAGCCGCATAGTTGAGTGCCCCCACCATGGAGTGAAACAGCTTCCTGTCACTCTCTCCCACCACCTCCTCATCAGCACAGGGCTCTACGGTGAACCCTGAAGGCAGTGGGGTGGCTGGCTTCCCTCCATCTCGCAGCCCATACTTCTCGGCCAGCCCCTCACAATACTTCCTCTGGTGCAACCTCAACACTCCCTTGTCAAGGTCCCTCTCCACATGCATCCCCAGGTAGTACTTCACGTCTCCCATCTTGGAGCACTTGAACTGCATTTCCAGCATCTCCTCCACACGCTCAATCATTGCAAACGACTCAGAGAAGAGCAGTATGTCGTCCACATACACCAGGAGCATGAGAAACTGCTCCTTCTCTTGCAGCAGGAACAAGCTGTGATCGCACTCACTCTTCTTGAACCCCCCAGCCAGCAGTGTCTCCTCCAGTTTGTGGTACCATGCACGAGGAGCCTGCTTCAGGCCATAGATGGCCTTCTTCAGCCTGCACACCCTGCCGCTCCCATCATCCAACCCCTCAGGCTGCAGCATGTACAGCTCCTCCAGAATGACTCCATTGAGGAAGGCGGTGGTAATGTCCAGCTGCTTTACCCGCCATCCACGGTATGCGGCCATCGCCAAAGACACTCTCAGTGTTGTGCCTTTTCCCACAGGAGCATAGAGCTCATCAAAATCCTTCCCCTTCGTCTGCTGGAACCCCTTAGCGACAAGCCTTGACTTGTAGCGCGTCAGCTCCCCATCAGGTCCATACTTGTGCCTGAAGATCAGCTTCGAAGAGATTGCCTTCTTCCCAGGAGGCAGCTCACACAGCTCCCACGTCTCATTCTCCAGCAGTGAGCCGTACTCCTCCTTCACACTCTGCTTCCACTTCTCAGCATCGGGCCCACTCAAGGCCTCGGTAAGCATCTTGGGCTCAGGGACGGCTGCCCAGTAGCAGTGCGCTATCTCCTCCTCATCACACTGCTCAGCCACACTCCCAGCCCGTACCACCTTCGGCTTCCCAAAGCTCGGATAGGTCAGCCGGTTAGGAGGGCGCACATCCCTCTTAGGACGGTCAGCCGTACGTGCGGCACCTCGTGGAGCATCTTGCTGCTCCACCACCTCGGGTTCTCCCCCATCCTCAGTCACCCCAGAGATCTCCTCCTCTGAGATGGCAACCTCCACTTGCCTCGAAGGCCGCTGCATCTCATCGGCCTCAACGATCAGCGGTGTCGTAAAAAGCTTCTGCTGCTGCTGCTTCCACTCCTTGTAGTACAAGGACTCCAGGAACTTCACGTCCCTTGACACAGTCAGCTGCTGGCTGGTCAAGTCCCATATGAGCCAGCCCTTGTGGTCCTTCGCAAGTCCCAAGTGCACACCCCATCTTCCAGAAGCTTCCAACTTTCCCCTCTTCTCCTTCGGCACATGAAACACCACCATGCAGCCGTAGGCTCTCAGCATGTTGACTGCTGGTGCACTCCCATACCACTTGGTGTAAGGCACCCACTGCTTGTCCCCGACAGTTGCGAGCACCCTGTTCTTCACCACAACGACCTGCCGTAGTGCAGTCACCCAAAACGGATCCGGCAACCCTGCACGCCCAAGGAGAGTGCGAGCACCTTCCTGCAGGGTCCGGTTGAACCGCTCAGCCACGCCGTTCTGCTGAGGGTTGTAGGGCACCGTGAGCTGATGCTGGATCCCCTTCTTCTTCAGCACCGCCTCAAAAACAGCGCCAATGAACTCTCCCCCATTGTCGGTGCGGATCACCTTCACTTTGTGTCCGCTCTCCCTTTGTGCTCTCGGCATCCACTCCTTGAGAACAGCCGCTGCCACCTCCCCCTTAGTCTTGAGAGGGTAGACCCACACCGCACGCGTGTGGTCATCCACAATGGTTAGGAAATAGCGGCTGCCCGAGAGAGAAGGGGCCCTCGTGGGGCCCACCACGTCCATGTGCACAAGTGCAAGTGGAGCCTTCGCTGGTCCCGTGCTGCTGCTGAAGGGAAACTTCGTGAACTTGGTCTCAAGGCATGTAGGGCAGCTCCCAATCTCCCTTGCTGCCCCCTTCACCTCCAATCCCTTCAGGTTCCCATCCTTCACCAATTTCTGCAGCATCGGAATGTTGATGTGGCACAACCTCTCGTGCC